ACATCAAAACGTATCTTATGCAACAATTTACCTGATAAGTGCTTACTCGGGTAAGAGTCGTCACTCTCACTTACCGGGTAAGACTTTCCATTCTTATTTTGAATAACGTACATTTATAACTTTCATTTTGGTACATAAGATGTAAAATTTTAAACATTTAAGTATCCGGTTGAAGCATTAACCGATTACAATGCTGATGTATCGAGTGATGTGGTATCCGACTTATTATTATCCGCTGAAGCATTAACCAGACATCACATCAATCGCCACATCAGCATGGTAACAAGTTAATGTTTCAACCAGTTACTCGGGTACTTAAATGTTTAAAAGTTTACATCTTATGTACCAAAATGAAAGTTCTGAAAATACGTTACCCAAAATATGAATCAAGTTAAAGTACGTTATTTTTTCATGCAATTTTCTCTTATAATATTATGTTTAAGTCATAAATCATATGCCAAAATTTACTTTTATTTTAGCTTAACTTTTTGTTACGCTTTATTTTTCTCTCTCTAATCTGTCTTTTTTGGGGCCGTTGGCTCAACAATCGAGATCTTTTTACACGGTTAATAATCAACGGCATTGAACATCTACATCACAAAATGGAAAATGCCATATCACTATAACAAATGGAATTGCATCAATCATGACAAAACACTGTTTCACAATCAACGTGTAAATAAAACGCGTACACTGTTAATAAGTATTCTTCAAGGACTTTTTAGACCGCTAAATATCTGATTTATGGTCAAGAGCTTTTAGTATAAACCCGACCATTGAAAACGAAAAAACTCAGAACCTGATTGCATGTGTAACTGTGCATATGATGAATAAAAATGTCATGTTAAATATATTTTGAACTGAATGAACTCATGTCATTGGTCATGTACCGCAAACGGAAGCATGGGAACTGATATTGTCCAGTGTATAAACGCATATAATATATGAAATGCCAAGAGCAAAGACATGATAGCTGATTTCGTATTAGGGTTTTTTTGTATATATATATATATATATATATATATATATATATATATATATATATGAGACCAACCTGTTTTTGTAAGAACCATGAACTATTATTTTAC